CGAAGGAGAAAATTTGTATTTTGAATTTGACATAAATTCTTTGCGAATTTAATCCTGTCACTTTTCTGATACACCTCGAATATTATTATATCCACAGATGATAGCCGGACACACAATATATCACACGTCCTCCAGGTAATTTGCATTCATTCCACAAGTCTTCAAATTTATTCTGATTCCTTAGCTTGCACATTCGTAGGTCTAACTTCTGGATGTCTGCATCAAATACGGAGTCATTTTGGGGATTGCCCAATGATTTTATGTATCCAGTCTACAGGCCACAATTTAATGGACAGGTTTGTAAAATCTAGGGCACTCTGTTTATTTGTTTTATTTACCCAACAGCTGTATTAACTGAACAAGATCAGTTCTTTTTTAGAAACATGGATACTTAATTAGAGTTGAATGATTTCATACCAGCCATTATTATCAGTTTATAGACTGAGGCCATCAATTGTTAAGAAGAATTGTAGATGATGAAATAATAATCGAAGTAAAAACTAGCAGAGGTTGGCATGATTTAAACTGGCTGAGGTTGGTATAATTTAAACTGACTGAGGTTGGTATAATTTAAACTTGGCTGAGGTTGGTATAATTTAAACTGGCTGAGGTTGGTATAATTTAAACTTGGCTGAGGTTGGTATAATTTAAACTGGCTGAGGTTGGTATAATTTAAACTGGCTGAGGTTGGTATAATTTAAACTGGCTGAGGTTGGTATAATTTGAACTGGCTGAGGTTGGTATAAACTTTTGGTAAAACTGGCTGAGGTTGAGGAGGTTGGTATAATTTAAACTAGCAGAGGTTGGCATAATTTAAACTGGCTGAGGTTGGTATAGTTTAAACTGGCTGTGGTTGGTATAATTTAAACTAGAAGAGGTGGGCATAATTTAAACTGGCTGAGGTTGGCATAATTGAAACTGGCTGAGGTTGGCATAATTTAAACTGGCTGAGGTTGGTATAGTTTAAACTGGCTAAGGTTGGTATAATTTAAACTGGCTGAGGTTGGCATAATTTAAACTGGCTGTGGTTGGTATAGTTTAAACTGGCTGAGGTTGGCATAATTTAAACTGGCTGAGGTTGGCATAATTTAAACTGGCTGTGGTTGGTATAGTTTAAACTGGCTGAGGTTGGCATAATTTAAACTGGCTGAGGTTGGCATAATTTAAACTGGCTGAGGTTGGCATAATTTAAACTGGCTGAGGTTGGTATAATTTGAACTGGCTGAGGTTGAGGTTTGGCATAATTTAAACTATTTAAAAACTGGCTGAGGTTGGTATAGTTTAAACTGGCTGTGGTTGGTATAATTTAAACTAGAAGAGGTAATTTTAAACTGGCTGAGGTTGGCATAATTTAAAATTTAAACTGGCTGAGGTTGGTATAGTTTAAACTGGCTAAGGTTGGTATAATTTAAACTGGCTGAGGTTGGCATAATTTAAACTGGCTGTGGTTGGTATAGTTTAAACTGACTAAGGTTGGTATAATTTAAACTGGCTGAGGTTGGTATAATTTAAACTGGCAGAGGTTGGCATAATTTAAACTGGCTGAGGTTGGTATAATTTAAACTGGCTGAGGTTGGCATAATTTAAACTGGCTGAGGTTGGTATAGTTTAAACTGGCTAAGGTTGGTATAATTTAAACTGGCTGAGGTTGGCATAATTTAAACTAGCAGAGGTTGGCATAATTTAAACTGGTTGAGGTTGGTATAATTTAAACTGGCTGAGTTTGCATTATTTAAATTGGCTGAGGTTGGTATAATTTAAACTGGCTGAGGTTGGTATAGTGTAAACTGGCTGAGGTTGGTATAATTTAAACTGGCTGAGGTTGGCATAATTTAAACTAGCAGAGGTTGGCATAATTTAAACTGGCTGAGGTTGGTATACTTTAAGCCGACTGAGTTTGGTATAATTTAATTTTTGAGGTTTGGTATAATTTGGTATAATTTAAAGCAGGCTATTCATAAAGTCGAGAAACCGAAGAGGAAAGCTTATCAGAATAAATTCTATGAAAATATTTGATGAAATGGAAAAGGAGAAACTATGTTACGGAGGTGAGAAAGTAACTGAAGCCGAGATGGCAGATTGGGACCGATAATATTGCAGATTTTTTAAAAGTTTGTGTCCTTCTACGCTTGGATGTTTGATAGTCGGGTATAAGCTAGACTAGGACAGTTTATACTTCCAGTTAGGCGACAATATACTCTCTAGTTTCCCATGTAATAAAATATACATTATGGCATCCACAGGTGATAATAGGGGACAAAATGCATCATGTATCGTCACACGTCCTCGGAGATATTTGGTGTTCTTTCTACACGGCTTTAATTCTATACTGATTCTTTGGTTTGCCTATTAGTAGGTCTAACTTCTGAGTGCCTACGGATTTGGGAAGAAAGTGTTGTCATTTTTGTTATTGGCCTTTCTTGCATTGTGGCTGTAATCTACAATCAACTATTTAATCTATAATTAATAAATTTATAAGCTCTAAAGGATTCCATTTACTTTTTTTACCAAACAGCTGTGTTAATTGAACAAGATTATATCCTTTTTAGAAATATGGATAACAGATTGTTACTGAATAAGTGCATCTCTACTATGATTAACAGTTTGTATGATTTGTTTTACGGCATATCAACACCTCAATGGGTTAGTTAATAATGACAAGATTTTTATTGCTGGTAATATTTTTTTTACAGAAACGTGTTGCTGGTAATATCTTTTTTCAGAAACGTATTGCTGGTAATATTTTTTATTTCAAAAACGTATTGCTGGTAATAATTTTTTTTTTTTCAAAAACGTATTGCTGGTAATAATTTTTTTTTTCAAAAACGTATTGCTGGTAATATTTTTCTTTTCAAGAGTGTACTGCTGGTAATCATGTATTGCCGGTAATAATTTTTTTCTTCAAAAATGTATCGCTGGTATTTTCTTTCCCAAACATACTGCTGGTAATATTTTTTTTCCAAAAACGCATTCCTGGTATTAAAACATATTCTTACACTTTCATAGTGTTTTTGACCCCAGTTTGGGGGTTAACTATTTGCCCATAGCTGAGACACTAACAGGTGCTACCACCGCGGGTCACGGTGGACCTGGGAACACCGGCAGTTAAGAGGTGTTTGCACGCTTCTCAAAACTTCCTGATCAGAGGTATTGCTGTTGGATGTAGTTTATCGTCTTACCCGTACCTCGATTATCCGGACTTGAAGTGAACATCAATGGTAACATTTCCGGACTGACGCGACAACTCATTGTAGTATTTTAAATTTCAACACAAGTTTCATTTTGTTATACTTGAACTGAAACTAGGCTTTCCGATTTCTAATTTCAAAAAGTTTTATCCATTACACCACCTGCACATCCAAGCTTACACCACCTGGTATGTTGACGTGGTCACCCATTTAGGTAATTACCAAACTCGACGTTGCTTAACTTTGATGATTGTACGAGAAAAAGTGTTTCAACGTGATATGGCAGTAGGCCAAGAAGAAGAAGACTGATTCGTTTTTGATGGCTTATCGACATTCTGCAGGTTATTTAAAGCCAGAAAATATATTTTATATTGTAAGAATTTTTTTTCGTGATAATGATTTACTGACACAAGTCTTTACTAATTGATCCATAGCTGGGGGAGAATAGGATTCATAACTTTCCCAAGGGTATTTGTGCGTAAGTGAATATAAGAAACCCAACTGGAATTGGAATCCGGCTCTCCTATTAACAATTTGAAACCATTACCCATTACACCAAAGAAAACATTCACGCTTACAGCACCTGGTATTCACCCGTCTGATTAGGCTAGATGTTGCTTAATTTCGGTGATCATACGAGATCGTAAGCCCTTACGCTTTGAAATTGAAATCACCTAGAATTTCCAATGGCAAAAAACGAAACGAAAAAGAAAGCGTGTTGTCCGTTGAAGAGAAATAAAATGTTCGTAACATGGCGCAGAAGAAAATTCGCGAAACGGAAATCATGGCGAATTATAGGGAAATCTACAGTCGATAATATTTTGAAAAAAAAAAAAACAGCAAAATTTGAAATGAAAATTAATCAATCCATCAAAAACTGTGAAAGTCTTATAGCAAGATAAAACGGAAATAAAAAGTGAAAATAACTGATTTCCGGTCACTGGTTCTATTCTTCTTGAGAATGCGTCTGGAGTACCCGCTTTTTCATAAAAAAATAAACTGGACAAAACCTTTAACAAAATGTTATTTGATAATATAAATGTTACGTTTATTTCAGAAAATGACTATTTTTCTGTATCATTTATCGATGATTTAGCTATCTAATTATCCAGGATTTTGAATTATCCGAACATATTTTGTTGACCATCGTTGTAAGGCTTCCGGATAATCAAGGATGTACTGTCGTTTGGTAAATTCATTAAATAATTGTTTGTTTGTCTTTGTTTTTGTTTTTTGCTATATATCATTTATTTCTCTGTTACGTCTGCAATTCTTTTTTTTTTGTTTCTTTGTACAAAAAGATGACAGTCAATACAATAAAGTAAAGAAATAAAGCAACCCGTTCAGAAACGGATTCCCGTATATTCTGCAACAACAATACCTACTCAGCTACTCGAAAAAGACAATAAATAAATAAAACCCCGTCAGATGCACATCTCCTTCGTAACGACTGACAGAAATAGACCCGCTTTTCATAAGGTGGTTTCTCTACTCTGGCATCATGTGATTCCTCTTTGCTTTTGTTTCTCGATGTCGCTCGATTTAGCAATGCACAAAGGCATTTCATGGCGCTCTTTGGAATCACAGCCTCTGTAGTTTCTCGCATGGCGTAGTGACAAGAAAAAAATGAGTCGCTCCACGAACCAAATAAATGTACTGGAGATCCCATTATCTAAAATTAGAAACACATTGACATTAAAGAAATGAGTATATCCTTGGTAAACTACCTGCATATTTATTTCTATTTCTGTGAAAAACCGAAGCGCGAATCGAGCGTTGAAAAGAAGGCTTACTTCCAATATAATCGAATAGAAATCTATGTTCATATCTCTCTTTATCTTCCTCTCATTATCTATGTTCACCATATCTCTTTCTTTCTCTCTATCTATGTTCATATCTCTCTTTATCTCACTCTCATTATCTATCTATGTTCACCATATCTCTTTCTTTCTCTCTATCTATGTTCATATCTCTCTTTCTTTATCTAACTCTCATTATCTATCTATGTTCACCGTATCTCTTTCTTTCTCTCTATCTATGTTCATATCTCTCTTTATCTCACTCTCATTATCTATCTATGTTCACCATCTCTCTTTCTTTCTTTCTTTCTTTCTATGTTCATATCTCTCTTTCTTTATCTAATTCTCATTATCTATCTATGTTCACCATCTCTCTTTCTTTCTTTCTTTCTTTCTTTCTTTCTTTCTTTCTTTCTATCTATGTTCATATCTCTCTTTCTTTATCTAACTCTCATTATCTATCTATGTTCACCATCTCTCTTTCTTTCTCTCTATCTATCTATCTCTATTCATATTTATCTTTACACACACACACACACTCTCTCTCTCAGTCTCTCTATATACATCCTCTTTTTTTCTCTCTCTCCTTTCATCAATGTATATGTATTCATTCCAATGTCTATTCATATCTATCTATCTATCTATCTATCTATCTATCTATCTATCTATCTATCTATGTGTTTATGTCTGTTTATTCATATCTATTCATGTTCATATCTCTTTCTCTATTTCATTCTCATTGCCTATCTATCTGCTCTCACTATCTTTCTCTATCGATATATATTCACCCATTCACTTTATCTATATTCAAACTATATCTTTTTCTCTCTCACCCTCTCAAGACATGTTTCCATCTATTCATATATAACTATTCATATATATATATATATATATATATATATATATATATATATATATATATATATATCTGCATCTATCTATCTATCTATCTATCTATCTATCTATCTATCTATCTATCTCTGTTTATGTATCTATCTATTCACATCTATCTATCTATCTATTCATATCTAGCTATGTTCTTAGACTCTTTAATTAATATCTATTTTAATGTATTTTTAGAGTCTTATCTTAACTAGAAAGGTTATATGTTATAAAAACCTAATCTTTAATTAATCGAAATGCATTTTCATATCATATCTGATTCAGTAACTCTTCTAAATGATTCTTGATGAACAAATTATGCAAATTTGGCATTCTTTTTTTAATCCAAAAGAATCCTCTATATTTTGAGATTAATGACTTTAATGTATCCTCGATCCATTCCCCTGATTGAGTTGCCCTTTTGAATTTCAGTGCCCAAAGAGGTAAGTAGTTTTAGTTAATTCTTCTATGTCTCCCCCTACCTTGACATGGATGGTCTACATCTGTGGATCGAGCACTTGGTTCAGTTCGGAATACAGTGAACGTTACCAAATGCTACCGGCGCCTTGAAAAGACCTGAGCATAAAAAAGGACTGAAACGATTAATAACAACCAAGATGAGTCAAATAGTTCAAATAAATCTAGGTACATGTTTTTAAGATTAATAACAACAACAATAATTATAAATACAGTGTAACCCGGATATAAGAGACCCGGATATAAGAGAAACCCGGATATAAGAGAGATTTTCTCTGGTCCCAAATTAGGGCCCATACTTACCTAAACAAAATAGATCAAACCCGGATATAAGAGAAACCCGGATATAAGAGACTTCTTCTCCGGTCCCGACAACTCTCTTATATCCGGGTTACACTGTAATAGAATATGAAGGTGACAGTTCTGTCCCACATAGAGACTATATGTATGATTTTATCTCGATCTCACGCTTTTGAAGTTGGTTCTTCTAAGGGAAATCCAACTGATGGAAAAAAGAATAAATAAATAACAGCTTTTGGGGTCAGGTGACACTAAAATCGGATATCGATGATTTCCGGCCACAGATCAATATTAAAAGTTAAAGTTGGAAGTGGAGAAACCAATTTTGGTCCTCCCCTTGGATAAGAACGGGCTGGGTGGTTCCAATACCGCCCGTTCGTGTAGTCAGCTACGTGACGTAATATTGAGATGGGCACAGTAGGAGGAAGAATCGAAAAGAAGGGGTGATATATTAGCCCGACATGACAGAAGTTGTACTAAATGTCACCCACCCGAACACCAAGACCATGCAAGTGAAAACTTGAATAAAACACCTAAATCTATTGGAGACAGTGTTCGAGGCCACATTTCTCTCCGTGGCGTTTATTTTCACATTTTGTTTCCGTGTTATCTTGCTACGTTTCCCAGTTTTTGGTGTATTGATTCGTTTTTTTAAAGACTTATCAACCTTCTGGAGATTATTTAAAGCCAGAAAATGTTTTTAGATTCTAAGATTCTGTTTTAGATAATAATGATTTAGGGATACGAGTCTTACTAATTAATCCATAGTTGGGTGATAAGAGGTTGGTTCATAACTTTCCGAAGAGTGCTTACGCGTAAGTAAGTAATAAAAAACCCAACTGGAATTCGATCTCGGATCTCCTATTAACAATTCAAAGATATTATCCATTATACCACCCGCACATCCAAACATACAGCGCCTGGTATTTCTAAACGATCACTCATCTAAGTACTGACAAGGCTCGATGTTGCTTAACTTCGATGATCGTACGGGAACTGATGTTTCGACGTGATGTGGCCTTAATTCTTAATGTGATATTCTTAAGTAGTCACTCATCTAGATACTGATCAGGCGCGACGTTGCTTAACTTCAGTGATCTTACGGGCCAGTTTTTGGTGAACATGAATAAGTTTAGAGATGCAACATGCTACTTCATTTGTCCGGTCAGTAAAAAGCTTGGTGTAGGTTCGATTGTATGTTTACACCAACGCTAATTTCAAAATCAAACTTATACTTGTAAAATACTTGTTCACTCGTTGTACTGGGGGCTTGGGAGATATAAATCTTTAAAAAAAAAACAAAAAAACAAAAAAAAAAAAACAATTCAGGTCTGGCGAGTAGAACAAGGAATTTGTAACTTTAGGCCAGTGGTTTTTAAAGTCTTGTTTTTTTTTTTTTTTTTTTGAGTCACAGACCTCTATAAGAACAGGCCCATTATTGAAAGTTAGACAGACAAGCCGATATTTACTATCTGATTGCATTTTTCCATACTGCACCCTCATGCAAACACATCTCTCTTAAGCCAGCCACGCTTGAGAGAAATTGTGGCGAATTAAATCTCACCAGTACATGAGAAGATAATGAAACCGTGATAAACGATGGAAAATGAGATTTATCACTTGCTCTTACAGAGTGGTAAAAGGATAGCGGTCGTGCAGAGAATGAGACCACACGTTTAAATGGTAAACATGGATCCAATAACAAGCGAAAAGTGGTTGACAGTGTAAGTAGTGTCTGGGTGCGTTTTCATTCAAGCAGTGGATAGGATGCATTTTCTTTTGTGAGAATACTGTTTGATAATCAGGACTTTGATAGTCTAAAGATTCAAAGCTTTATTCTTAAATGGCAAGCATTTCATATATAGGAGTTCCAATCACGCCCAAAGCAGTTTTTGTTATTACTTAAGTAAATTGGTCCACTCGTAAAAAATAGGGAAAATTATTCCCCGAATATTTATTGTAGATTAGTATTTATTAGACCTACTTCAAGGCGCAACATTTGTCATAATAAAAATAAAGAGAAAACTCCATAATATAGACACAGTTTAAAATCGTTCCCTGACTATATGCAAAGTTATTAGAACCTATTTTTCTGCGTACAGAACAATTTTTTTACAAAAAAGATTTCTTTTAAATGAAATAAAGCAAAGATGGATATAAGCTTTATTTCATTTAAAAGAAATCTTTTTCCATGGATATATACGTTTTTAATTAAAGAAATATGCATAAATTAATAAAAGTATGTATCCGTTTATTTTTTATTTAAGATAAATAATTATTATATCCCAATATTTGTGCATATGTTTCTGAAAAAGAATCTTCCGCAGATGAATTTAAAAAAAATAGTTTTTAAAACTTCAGAAAATTGAATAAACCTATGCCGTTAACAATGATGATAACTGTTCCAAACTTGACATATGTAACAATTTAAATCCAAATAGTTCGGTGAAATGTCAGGGATCTACCTGAAAGTGAATTTATACTACCAGCAGGCTATACTTGTAAATCGAATTAAAAAAACAACAATATCTTTCGATTCTAACAAATGTCGTGACTTGAGGAAGGTTGAATGAATGTTAATTTGCAAATATTATGACACGACATATTTTCCCCTATTATCATGGGTGGATCAGTCATTATGTGTAGGCTTTAAGAAAGCTTTATTCACTTGAGAATACAAGGTCCGCGTATAGTGTCCTTTTATAGTCCCAGTAAACATAAATACTCTCTCAAAGAGAAGAGCAACAAAACAAGGGGAGACCATTCTTGATTATTCATAACACAGCCTATTTCAGACGTGTATTTCAGATATGTAGCGATGAAATGAAGCATGAACAAAAATGTCAGTGAATATGTTTACCGCATATATATGAGTATAGTACAAGATCTTATTATTAGTTTTTTTTTGCAAAATATAGAAGTCACACTATACGCAGGTATTTTGTTTTAGAAGCGGTTAATAGCATGCATTTTCGGTGACAGGTTGTACTTTCTACTCGTAATTTTTTTCTAGAGGTATCAAATTTAATACAAAAAAAAATTCCGAGGTTGCACTAAACATAAAGTCGGCTTTTACACGAGTATATAGGGTAATGATATTAAATATGCATAATATAAAAATATTTTATCTGAAATTCGAAAGATTTTATGCTTACGTTATGTAATGTCGTCACCAGATCTCGGTATGACGTTAAATGTCTTCCAATATGGCGTAAGCTACGTGTTAGACATAAGTGGTCAAGGGACAATTGTCTTTCTGCCATAAGTAGCAGGGCTTGGAAGAAATAATCAAATGGCGTTTGAAGATAAAAAAAACAGACGTCTTTCTTTTGCACGAGAATTTTTAATTTAGTCTCCGCTGAGCCAAAACAACCTTCCCAGTAAGATAAGGAGTTAGACAATGGTGTTGATTAAAAAAAAAAATAGGCTGGCTTTTATAGGGAAAATAATTCGGCCATTTCAGATAAGAATTTTCCTTTCGTCTGTTGTTTTCTGCTTTGTACTTTAACATTTTTTTTTTATTTGTCCCATATTTTTCTCTTTTTAATTTCCTAGATTCTTTTTCCCCCATTTTCATTCTTTCATTCTTCCCATTTTTTATTCCTTTCTTTTTCACATCTATACATTTGTTTAACATCTTTTTTTTACCGCGGTTTTCATCCTGTGCAAGGCCCGAGCGCCACTCAAAGTAGAAGGTTACAGAGTAAGAGGCACAGCTTATGCAGATGTATGTGGAAGATAACGGTTAACGCTAGATTTGAACGGGTTAAGATTGTAGTAATCGGGGAAGCAACCTCTTGGGAGTCGGTTCCACGGAGCAGCATTTCGCAAGAAGAAGCTGTTTGAGTAAAACTTACATCTGATTAATAAAATATGAAGTGAATGCGGGTGGTTGGCTATAATGGGTGTGGCATGGTGGGTCGAGCCGGTGGAGCTATATATATATATATATATATATATATATATATATATATATATATATGTGTGTGTGTGTGTGTGAACATTTCTCAGAGTTAACCCGTAGAAAAGACAATATTTATAAATATAAATGACAATTGAAAACTGTAGTTATTGCTGACGTGTTTCGTCCAATGTGGACTTTCTCAAAGCAAAAAACGAAATGAATTTAATTAAAGAATATATATAATAACAAAAAACAGAATAACGTCAGTTATTGTCACGTGTGGAGAATATTTCTGATGCAGGCATTTATAAAATAAATTGCCCAAACTGTTCATCCCAATATATTGGAGAAACAAGTAGAAATTTTTAAAAACACATTTATGAGCACAAAAGAGACCTCACAAAAAACAACTTAGCTAATGCACTAGTCATACAAAGAAATAAATTCAACCATAATTTTGATTTAAAAAATGCTACACTCATAAAAAAGAAAATAACTCACTCAGAAGGAAAACTCTAGAGAGTGCTGCCATAGAATATTACCCAAATATTAAACTACACCCAGGGTTTTCCCTATTTCACCTTTCTTAACAAAATTACTGCTCCCTCGAACAAACGTACACAACAATATCGTAAAATCAAAAGAAAATTGTTGAATCCGTCAACACAGTTATAATGACAATATTTTCCACACGCGACAATAACTGACGTTATTTTCAGTTAACAATATGAAAATAGCGTTCTTTACATTCCTCCAGTTGCTAAGAACATTCTGTTTTTGTTATTATTAGTTACGTTCTTTAATTAAATTCATTTCGTTTTTTGCTTTGAGAAAGTCCACACTGGACGAAACGCGTCAGCAATAAATACAGTTTTCCTATTGTCATTTATAGAGAGAGAGATATTTTGTAAAACCTCTTCCTGCCTTCCATCAGCAAGGCTGATGCTAACCCCTAGGAGAATAATTCGTTGCGTCTTCTCGAGCATAAACTCTCCGCTGATATGAAGTGGAAAGATTATAGTGAAGCCCTTGCTAGGTCTGAGGCTAAGAATGTATGTTCTCATTGTCATGCTCGACAATTTTTCCATCTTGGATCTATCTTACAAACTCAAAAGTCTACCATTCGTCCATGTCATGAATATTGCATCCACATAAGGTCCAGTTGCTCATCTCGAGATTCTTGATGAAATCGAAAGAAGAATCTGAAATATTGTTGGTAGCGGCTTCAGTCACTTACTGTTGTAGAGTAATTTTCACAGTGGAAGCTTGTATTTCACTAAGTCGGTCCTAAATTAGGTTCGACGTACAAAACGTTAGGAACTTGAAATAATAGTTAATGACACAGCAATCTAGTTGTGGGGCTCATACTTTAATGTCCGACATCGACTGACTCACACAACTCACTGAGCTTCACTGGCGACTGCTACTACTACTACTTATCTGTGGGAGTGTCTATTTACAATAGAAATAGGTACGTTCCGGTATAACACTTACCCACTACTGTGATGTATCTTTCCTGTGATTTTTCTATAAATACTTTCATGGTAATTAAACTTTACGCTATGGTACCAAGACTTTATGAATTTAAGCACAGTACTAGATCTGCGGCCAGGTCCCATCAATTCACTGTTGAATTGGATAGAGGTAACCTTAAGTTCTATGCTAACAGTTTCTTCCCTGGCTCTTCTCGCTTTTGCAACTCTCTTCCGGACCAATGCTTTCCAGCTAACTTTGAGCTTCAAAAATTTAAATTCATTGTCAGTCGCCATCTACTGTCCTCTCGATTACTCTTCTATAGTTCTCGCTTCTTATTAATGTTTCTCCTTTTTGTTATTCCTCCACTCAGTGACCCCTTGTGTCTTAGTGGCTTTTCTGCTTTGAATGGGTTGATATTATTAAAATAAATATATCTAAGAAAAGATAGCTTCATAAATTTCGAAAGGATATTATGTAAAATTAACACGATCTGTCTCGCCTGGATTTGAACATGGCTCTTCAATTCCATTATTTGCACTGATAACCGTATTTTTTTTTAAACCCATACCTCCGCAAAAACGATACTTGCTACCTTTAGTTGTTTTGGAAAACTTTTCCTTGAACCTTGACACATTACGATTAACGGAAGAAAAATCAAAAAACAAAAACAGGCTGTTATTTCCTTGTGCTTTTAATTAATAAAGCACTTATAACTATTTTCACATCTGTTTAACGATCTAAGTCATTACCTTCATTGGCGATGACAAGGCGTGTAACATTTGACAGCAGGGAAACGTTTTAAGCGAAGAAGCGACTACGTCTACGGCGAACTTTCGAGTATTTCAAGTTCTGTGATTGGTTGTTCGCCTCCGAGCGTCAAAACAACTCCTTTCAACATATTTGTACTGACACCTGTTTCAAGACATCTCTATACACTGAGATAAAACATCCATTCATTTCTAACATTTATTTACATAATGTTTTTACTCATACTTCATGAGATTCGATTAAAACTTCGCTTTTGAACATTATGCAGATGTTCAAGTAATGAAGCCAGTGTCGTGCAGCTTTGTATCAGATTAGGGGGCGTACTCTTAAAAAATGAATCTATGGAAGTACTCCTTTGTAATTAATTTGTTACAATAATCCTGAGTAACGTTCTACCCGACTACTCATTTTTTATAGTCCTGGGGCAGTAGTCCTAATGAATAAACCTATAGTAGTATTCATTTGTAATGAATCTGGGACATGACTCCATATTAATAAAACTATGGCAATTGCACTATTTATTGTCGGACTATTTATATTCGAACTCTGACCTTCTTCAGGTGTATATCGATCTGGATAACCTACATCGAATTACAAACTTTAAAACTTTATTGTTTACACTAGTCATATTCAGACTATTGTGCACATCTTTCTTGTTTTTATTACAACCTTTCAGCCGTTGTGCCTTCCGGCCTTCCTCAGGTGTATATCGATCTGGGTAACATTTTGGGAATTCCAAACTGAACCTTTTATTATTTACAATATTTATATTCGGACTATTGTCCACATTTTTGTTGTTCTTATCACAACGTTTCGGCCGTTGTGCCCTGCGGCCTTCTTCAGGTGTATATCGATCTGGGTAACCAACAAAGAATTCCAAACTTAACCCTTTATTATTTACACTATCTATATTCGGACTATTGTCCACATCTTTGTTGTTTTTATCACAACCTTTCGGTTGTTGAATATTGATCTGGGTAAGCAACACAGAATTCTTTATTTAATCTACAGGGTGGAAAAATAAAGAACTCGGAGAATTCCAGTGAGATATCTTTATACATTTCTAAGATACAACGGTTCAGAGTTTGATCTAACAATTGGACAATTTTGCTGTTACACGATTCGGAAAATTTTGCTGTTACCCCCGTTATACAGAACAAAACAATAAGCTAAAGCTTGAAAGAGGAAGTTAATTGATTGCATGTAATAAATTTTTCAAAAAATACATAGGAGAAACCCCATGGAATCTAAATGGAATACTATATGAACACAAAAGGGACATTTTAATATTACAAGACATTTCATCTCAAGGATGCTGGAGGAACTTTATATCGGGTCCCGCAAGCCTTCCCTGTGTAAACAGCGTGAATGTTTGTTGGGGCTCGCTGTTATCTGTCTCTTGCTCTTTGTGTTCATTTTTTCCCTCTTCATTACATATTTTTCTGTTATTTTAATATCTAAGTTAAATCTCCCGTAGAGACCTGAAGAGCAGGAGCAAAACCAGTTGCTTCGCTTTTTAAAATGTCTTGTAATATTAAGATACACACTTTCATTTCATATATATATATATATATATATATATATATATATATATATATAGTCCTGTCGCCTCTGAGTGTTGACTTCAATGTTCACTTTTATATTAATATTTACATAGTTCTATCTCTGATATTGAGTACTTTATCCCATAAATATAGCACACCTTAAAACTATATATATATATATATATATATATATATATATATAAGTAACGAAAATCTTGGTAATCAGTATGGATAATCCCAAGGAGTATGAAAACCTGAGAGCTCAATGTTAATTCAGAGCGAATAATTTAATTTAAAGAAAAACAGACCACTTTAAGGCTCCATTTGTAATAATATATTTCTCAGAGAATTTTAATTTTCTCTGGATCTTCAGACTTCACTTTCAAAAGGTGAAACGAAGAATGAATTTATATATATGTATATATGTATAATGTATATAATATATATATATATATATATATATATATATATATATATATATATATATATATTTATACAAATAAAAAAATGAATTTATATATATATATATATATATATAAATTCATTTTTCGTAAAATGTATAATGTGTATCAATATATATATATAGATATATATATATAAATTATAAATTAACTGATTTAAAATATGTTTTTTCGCTACACAGTAATAGCCATGTTTCAAAAATGGAAGCTAAAAACTTTAAATTTAATTATATAATTAAATTAAAAAAAATTAGTTTCGTTTCATCTTAAAGCGAATATTGGAATAACTTATTTTAAAATTTACTGAGTTTTAAACGCACATATAAATTTATAATTTACTGTTTCCAAGGATACAGAGAAGTCCAATGATTCAGTATACCAATACAATATATCATCTATTGAGAATCCAGAGAACATAAAAATTCTATATAGGTTGCACAAGCCATGAGTTCAAAAAACGGTTCAATTAACACCAAACTTC